GAGAGAGAGAGAGAGAGAGAAGGATTCTTCCCAGCATCTTATGATGATAACATTAATTTGTCCTTTCAGTTATGTCAAGCAGAGTCAATCCATCACCCGATCTAGTGCGGTGGGGTGGAATTGTGGCCCTTTCCATTTGGGAGGGACAGACACCAAAGCAAACTTCTGCTTCGACAGAGAGATCGCTCCATGTTGGTACATGGCCAGAGCCTCCCGCCATGAGATGAAGTATCCATTTCCTTAGAAGGTCTTGAGATATATGATTATTGCATTTAGATCTCTTTAAAAGGTTAATGGTGGCAAAGACTATGTGGGATAAATGTTGCACAGGCTTTAGCTCTCACTACATTACATTCTTACAGTCATCCTTGTTTAAGAACGTGGCTCCAAAGGGTCCGGTACGGGTTGGTGTGCTTGCAATTATGATGTTTTAGGCCTTTTAATATGGCAGGATGAAATGACACCTTTAAATCATCACCCAAGTTCTTTATCTTTCCTGACCACACCAAGCCAAAGCTATAATCAGGAGTTAACTAGAGTATTGATGGGTCTTCAGTCTACATTATCATTAATTTTCTTGTACAAATGCATGAGGATTTATACTAAACCAGACCATTAGTTCATCAGGCTTTCCTAGAAGGCAGCTGCCCCCTTTCTTTTTAAGATGTGCCCTATAAATTCTTTTTGGTTTGGGTGAGTTGAAATCAGTTTCATTTTTGAGAGCACAGATTGGTTGGCATCCTGTCAATAACATATGCAATTGTAAGTTGTGCAACCACGGCGAGCCATTATTTTGACATTGTGAAATGGCCATATTCAGCTGACAGCAGCAGATCTGGAGTGGCACATACAGAACCATTGAACATTCAGTTGCACAAAAAAGTCCCCATTCATCTGTGCCCCTCATGGCACATTACACAATGGGGCCCTTCCATGAACAAGCGTTCCACAATGTTGTTAGGAGGGTTGTGCAGTGCTAGCATGATGTAACTCTGCCAGACAATATTTATGCTATGTTTTGGTGATTTCAGCCATTGATTCAAATAACCATAAGTCACGGGGGAGGTGAATGTGTGGAACTTGATTTTGTAATGCTTCAGTCCATCATTGGTCCATCTACCTAACTACGCAGAAACAGGAAGTGGCTCTCCAAAGCAGACTGACTTTCCTTCTAGCTGAGAGCAAAATGAAACAAAAGGCCATTCATGCATTTGAGCATTATATGAAATGTTTTTATTTTTTGGGGGGGGATGTTGTTAAATTGTTTGCATTGGAGGAATAGCTTCCAGTTTGTGACACTGGAAGCTTTTCCCCCAAATGCAAATAACATCTATGTATATGTTTTGTGTGTGTGTGTGTGTGTGTGTGTGTGTGTGTGTATGTGTACATATGCATATCTAGATTGGGACCACATTGTGAGTTAAACTTCCCCTAGCTGGATTTTCCCTCCCATGATGTGTCATAGTGGTCTCAGTGTTGGACTACGACCATGGAGACCAGGGTTCAATTCCCAGCTTAGCCATGAAACCCACTGGAAGACCATGGGCAAATCACATTCCTTCAGCCTCCTTTGCAATGGAAAACCTTCTGTGAACAAATCTTGCCAAGAAAACCCTATGATAGATTCATAAGTCGGAAACAACTTGAAGGCACACAACAACAACATGCAGGTATTCAGCAACCCAACAAGCATTTGGTAGTTTTAATCAATTGAATACCATAATTAACATTTGAATATGTTACATTGCTGTTACTCTAGATTTGATAGCCATGGGAGGAAATACCAGCACCCACTGCCTAAACTGTAGTCTCATTCCTTAATCATCTGGATACCTCCACATATACAGCTGTGGTGCCAGCAGTCTGGGAAGGTGAAGACACATTGAAGCTCGGCCTAATTGTTCATCACATGGTGCCAGTGATACCCAAACCTTGAGTTATTTCCCTTCTCCCCTTCCCCTTCCCCTTCCCCTTCCCCCTTCCCCCTTCCCCCTTCCTTCCTTCCTTCCTTCCTTCCTTCCTTCCTTCCTTCCTTCCTTCCTTCCTTCCTTCCTTTAATGTATACCCTGCTTTTCTCCAAGGATGGGATCCAAGGCAGCTTCCAATAATTTAAAACAAGATTGCATTCAAATCTTATTTTACAAAAGTTAAAAGGAATCAAACAGTATTATTTAAAAATCATGGTTAGAAACAGTTTAAAATACATTGAAAGCATAATTACTAATAAAATATAAGAACTACAGCAAAGCACTCCACACACATTACTGCTATACAATATCGACCTCAAAGGTCTGCCTGAATAAAAAGGTAGAAAGAGAGCAGGGAGGGGGCCAACTGGACTCTCCATGGAAGGGAGTTCCACAGCCTGGGAGCAGCCACAAATCTAACATCTGTAGAACGCTCTGGAGCCACAACAAACTATAATTCCCAGAATTCCATAACATTGAACCATGGCAGTTAAAGTGGCATCAACTTGGATTATTTCTGCAGTGCAGATGAGGCCTTAAAGGATAATGATATTGGTATTTGGCTTATTCACACCAGTGTTGTAGAAATAGATTATAACATGGATTGCCAGTTCACATGAGAGTTACAATCAAGCATTAAAAAGCAAACAAGAAACAGGAAAATTTGCATAGTTTATGGACACTGATGGCTTATTTACACCACTGTAGAATTAGAGTATTTACTACATGTGTTGCCAATTCATATGAGACTTACAATAAAGTTTGAAAAACAAACAACTGTCAGGAAACTTTGCATATTTTATGAAGCTGATGCAAAAAAATTAATCACATTTATATTATGGCAGGGATGCATAGTTCCTTGCAACAAAGTCCCATTCAACTGAGGTTGTAACATATGAATGCACAGGATTGTCAGGTTTATAATAAACATTTACCAACAACAACAGCAACAATAGGGTGTGTAAGGGAGGGAAGTGAAGAGCTAGGGTTGTAGCTGTACATGGGGGGAAATGAGGACAATCCCCAAATAAGAATTGTGTGCTTTCACAAAATATTCCTTCAGTCCCCAGGTTTCTTGCATTTCCACTAAAAACTCCAGTCAAGCATTTAGTTTAGCTTTCCAAAGAGAAGGGACAGGCAAAGCTGCCAAGGGAATGCAAACACAGCAAATGTAAGAGTTCTAGATATGAAATTCAGTGCTTTTTGGCATCTCATTCTCTGCAATGCTAGGAATTTGAGGA